AACAGAGGAATACGAACCGAGACCAACAGCAACGACCCCAGCGACGAAATAGGACTTGCGATTGGAAACTCGGCACGTGGAACTGTCGATCTCTCAATTTCATCGGGAGCACCCGAATACTCGCCAATCTACTGAAGGACCGTGGATTCGGCATCGTAGCGCTGCAGGAGGTGTGTTGGACAGGATCCATGGTGCGAACGTTTAGAGGTAATCATACCATCTACCAGAGTTGCGGCAACATACGCGAGCTGGGCACAGCTTTCATCGTGATGGGCGAAATGCAGAAGCGCGTGATCGGTTGGTGGCCCATCGACGAAAGAATGTGCAGGTTGAGGATCAAGGGCCGATTCTTCAACTTTAGCATAATCAACGTGCACAGCCCTCACTCCGGAAGCACGGATGATGACAAGGACGCATTTTACGCGCAGCTCGACCGCGAGTACGATCGCTGACCAAAGCAACGACGTCAAGATCATCATAGGAGACCTAAACGCTCAGGTAGCCCAGGAGGAGGAATTCAGACCGACGATTGGAAAGTTCAGCGCCCACCAGCTGACGAACGGGAACGGCCTACGACTCATAGATTTCACCGCCTCCAAGAACATGGCCATACGTAGCACCTTCTTCCAACACCACCTCCCCTATCGTTACACAGCAGACAGAATCGCAAATCGACCACGTTCTGATTGATGGACGGCACTTCTCCGACATTATCGACGTCAGGACCTATCGTGGCGCTAACATCGACTCTGACCTGGTGATGGTCAAACTGCGCCCAAAACTTTCCGTCATCAACAATGTACGGTACCGACGCCCGCCACGGTACAACCTAGAGCGACTGAAGCAACCGGATGTCGCCTTAGCATACGCGCAGAATCTCGAGGCAGCGTTGGCAGAGGAGGGCGAGCTTGATGTGCCCCGTCTAGAGGATTGCTGGAGTACAGTAAAAGCAGTCATCACCGACGCAGCCGAGAGCACCATCGGGTACGTGGAAAGAAGTCGACGGAATGAATGGTTCGACGAGGAGTGCAGAGCGATTTTGGAGGAGAAGAACGCAGCGCGGGCGGTAATGCTGCAGCATGGAACCCGACAGAACGTGGAACGGTATAAACAGAAGCGGAAACAGCAGACCCGCATCTTTCGGGAGAAAACACTAAAAACGCCGCCTGGAAGAAGCGGAGTGCGAGGAAATGGGACTGCTGTGCCGTTCCCAAGAAACACGGAAGTTCTACAAGAAGCTCAACGCATCCCGCAACGGCTTCGTGCCGCGAGCCGAAATGTGCAAGGATAAAGACGGGAGCCTCTTGACGGACGGACGTGAGGTGATTGAAAGGTGGAAGCAGCACTTCGATGCGCATCTGAATGGCAAGGAGAACATGGCACGGGAGACCAGCGCAATGGAGGAAACGACTACGTCAGTGCAGCAGAGGACGGAACTTGCCAGAAGGAGGATGCCATTCAGCAGCTCAAAAACAACAAAGCAGTTGGTACGGATGGTATCGCAACCAAACTCATATAGATGGGCCCAGAAAAGTTGGCCACCTGCCTGCACCGGATGATAGTCAGGATCTGGGAAACAGAACAGCTACCGGAGGAGTGGAAGGAGGGGGTAATCTGCCCCATTCACAAGTAAGGGCTACCATTTGGAATGTGAGAACTTCAGAGGATCACCATTTTGAATGCCGCCTACAAAGTGCTATCCCAGATCACCTTCCGTCGTCTATCACCTAAAATGACCGACGGCCGATCGACAACGGACCAGATCTTCACCGTACGGCAAATCCTCCAGAAATGCCGTGAATACCAGGTCCGAACGCATCATTTGTTCATCGACTTTAAGGCGGCATACGACAGTATCGACCGCACAGAGCTATGGAAAATCATGGACGAGAACGGCTTTCCTGATCAAAGCAACGATGGACGGTATGCAAAACTGCGTAAGGGTTTCTGATGAACTATCTAGTTCATTCGAATCTCGCCGGGGACTGCGACAAGGTGACGGACTCTCATGTCTACTCTTCAACATTGCTCTAGAAGGTGTAATGCGACGAGCCGGGCTCAACAGCCGGGGTACGATTTTCACGAAATCCGGTCAATTTGTGTGCTTTGCGGACGACATGGACATTATCGCAAGAACATTTGGAACGGTGGCAGAACTATACACCCGCCTGAAACACGAAGCAGCAAAGGTCGGACTGGTGGTGAGTGCGTCAAAAACAAAGTACATGCTAGTAGGCGGAACCGAACATGACAGGATTCGTCTAGGAAGTAATGTCACGATAGACGGGGATACTTTCGAGGTAGTGGAGGAATTCGTTTACCTTGGATCCTTACTGACGGCTGACAACAATGTGAGTCGTGAAATACGAAGGCGCATCATCAGTAGAAGTCGGGTCTACTACGGGTTCCAGAAGAAACTACGGTCAAAAAAGATTCACCCCCGCACCAAATGTACAATATACAGAACGGTAATAAGACCGGTGGTCCTCTATGGACACGAGACATGGACTATGCTAGACGAGGACCTGCAAGCACTCGGAGTTTTCGAGCGACGTGTGCTAAGGACGATCTTCGGCGGTGTGCAGTAGAACGGTGAGTGGCGGCGAAGTATGAACCACGAGCTCGCTGCAGTCTACGGCGAACCTAGCATCCAGAAGGTGGCCAAAGCCGGAAGGATGCGGTGGGCAGGGCATGCTGCAAGAATGCCGGACAAAAACCCTGCAAAGTTGGTGTTCGCTACTGATCCGGTTGGCACAAGAAGGCGTGGAGCGCAGAGAGCACGATGGGCGGACCAGGTAGAGTGTGATCTAGCGAGCATTGGGCATGACCGAGGATGGAGAGCGGCAGCCGCAAACCGAGTATTGTGGCGTACTATTGCTGATTATGTCTTATCTTAAATGTGATGTTGTACAAATAAATGTATGTATGTATGTAGTAGTGAGAAAATTCCGAACTTCTGTCCACCAACCATTAAGTCTTGATCTACTGAACAACTTTGCGCGAGACAGTAACCTTCTATATGTCCAGGATCGCGAGTTATTCCATGTTGGTCCCTATTAGGTCAAATCCCATATGCTACGTGTACTCCATTTACGCGATTCCCTCGCGTAAACGGAATCATTCGAGACCAACGTAAATGGAATTCGTGTAGACCGAGTTCACGTTCTTTGGGGGGAGGGTGTGCTTTGTCCCGATACTTTTGCATTTTAATGAAGCTATGCAAATATACTGGTTGCTACCAAAGGATTCATAGTCCATTTATTATATGACAAGCTTTAATTATTTGTTTGTATTTACATAGTTGAAGATGCTAATTTCAATTAACAGACTAAAGTGGTTATTTTTTATACGATAGATGAGGAGATGAAAGTATAGAGTTGATAGTTACGTTAGAGTACGGCAGTGTATATAGGGGGAGTTTGGTAAAGAGAGATGATCAACCCGATTTGTACCTTCCTCAAAGCTGTCCTTGCTCGCTTTCTACTCTCTATATACAATTTTCACACTGCCGTTTTTCTGACGGAACTATCAACTCTATACTTTCATCTCCTCCATCTATCGTATAAAAATTACCGCTTTAGTCTGTTATTTGAAATTAGCATGTTCAACTATACATGATAAGTTTCATCGGGACTATGTTTTGCTTTTTGACATATCTACGAAGCTTAGCTTTGCTTAGTATGACTGAACAGATCAATGGTTGCTACAGTGTGATTGATCATAATCACTGAAATTACATAATTACTGGGACTAGAATTGGGAGTGATCGATCATTCTCATTGTTCAGGTTTCAGTGATTCCATATATTAATTATCAATAACGGTCAACGTCCTTACAGTCAGGTGAAAGTGATGTGCAATACAACTGTCGCAATTGAAATCTGCGTACTTTAAAACTCTGATATTTCTAGACCATTAGATGATGAATTTGAAGAAATTTTAATGATCAAACCATCCTAAAGTATATTTGTATTATAATGCACAATATCTTAGTTAAATAGAGCATACTAGTATAATACTGTACTGAAAAAAACGACTTGATATATAGTGTGTCAGTTGCAATTTACTTTAATATATATAATTAAATCCAAAGTACAGAACCAATTTTTTAGCTGAACTTGGTGATGAATCAATAATAAAAAATACTACATATTTAATACCTTGAAGGTCGAATTAATAATTTAAGCTAATTTAAGCATTTCTGGAAATTGTCAGCTTTCAAAAATATCAAGAAGCAATTACTTTTCACGAATTTCTGTTTTTTTTTCATGTGATCATATAACCATATAAAAGCAGTTTTAATGAGTTTTTAAAAAAAGCTAATCTGGTACTCGTCAAAAAACATTCATCAAAACTCAAAAATCAAATTCTGAACACTTAAAAAAAATCTGACCGAAAAAAAAAACAAAATTTGTCAAATGATTTTCGAGCGCTACTGTACACGTGCCTAACAACCAACTAAACAATTTCATCGACCCAATTCTGCTTCTCATCTCTTCGTCTGCATGGATTTTTTTTTTTTCGTCGACCGGTTTCAACTTCGAAATCATCTGAACCTCAGATTCCAAATCTCCGTTCTGGACTTTGCTAATTAATCGAATTTGTTAGAAATATCCAGACTGTAACCAAGTGAGAGATATCGAGCTGCCACTCACCCATCGCACCACTCGGTTGATCGAGCCTCTTTGGGCGGTCGGCAGGCAGGCAGGCAGGTAGGAACCCAATCGAAGTCAAGAGCAGTACGGCGGAAAACAAAAAAAAACACGCATAGCTGTGAGTGAGAACCCACCACCAACCCAGAAGAATTCATGTTCGGTGTTGTATCATAGCGTGTGCTTTTAAGGTTGTTGTTGTTGTTGTTGTCGTCGTTGCTGTTGCTGCTCTACTCTGCTACCGGAGAACTCCGCCGGTCACCGATCAGCAAGTGTGTGAGAACCACCCCGAACTCGTTGATATAACCGGCGTGCGTTGATCCTCCAATCGTCAGTCGTGGTAGTTGGTTCCTCCGATTAGGACCTGAACCGGGTGTGAGCGCGTGCGTTAAGTTTTCAGTGTTTTCCCAAAGAATTTTGGAAAAGGATTTTGTTTAAAAAAAAGCGGTCTAATTGGAGATTGTCCCGCGATTCAAAGAATTATAAAAAATATGTGGAAGTCCGTGGTGTGTTTGGCCCTTTTGGGCGCCCTCGGTGCCGTCAGTGGAACGTCGAAGCTGCAGGAACGGTACAGCTGGCGTCAGATGGACTTTGTGTTCCCGAACCAGCAGCTGAAGCAACAGGCCCTGGCCAGTGGGGACTACGTTCCGACCAACGGTCTTCCGGTCGGAATCGAACGATGGGAGAATAAGCTCTTTGTGTCGGTGCCAAGATGGAAGGATGGTAATTATCTCTCGCTCGTCGGAGCGTGCTTTTGTTTGCCCCAACAAGGACAATGTGAAAGTGCAGTTGGTGTGATCTTTAAAACAAAACGCGGGGGAAAAAAATCCCGGCCAGAAAATGGAAGGGACAGTTGCCGAATGGCAAAGCGATCGTGAGGTGGAGATTTGTTTAATTGAGGAATGATGTTTTTTTTGCGATCGTCTGAAGGACATATGATCGTGGAATTTGTAGGTAGTAAGAAGCTTCCTTTCATCGAACGAGTGAAGTGACTGTGGGCCCTCCAATGTCGTTTAAACTGTGGGAAAGGAAGCTGATAAGCGGATGAGTGGTGCAAAAGAGTGATTTCGCAATATTTGGCATTTGTGTTTTTGCTTTCTGGCAGTTGCTTGGGAGTTGATTGAAAGTGCGATCATTCGAGAGGCGGGGATTATGCCGAAGTGTTGTTTCAATAGTAAGAGATGGGGAAACTACAATGTTTTGTGGTAATCCATGTTGAGATGTCTTGAAAATTTTCTGAGGTTTAACTTCAAATGTTAAGACGGTTGAAAAGTGGTTTCCCTCAGTGGTGTTTGGCAGCAACTGAATTGTGACTAATACGAATAGATCACACAAAAGTAACGACAACCGTTCTATGTCAAATGTGCGGCAGCTGAATGCTTCACTGGTTCCATTTTTGTTGTGTTTCGTAGAATTTTTCATTTGATTTGTCTTTACTAGCACTGTTCATTGATTAAAGTTGGTTAGGCTAAGACGCTCTCAATTGTTCAGCTCTTTAATTTGCGCCACAAATTGGCCCTATTGAGTTGAAGGGTGTATGGCATATTATCATTCAATGGCTTCAGTCTTCTTAATTAAGTCCTTTAGCTTCTGCTAATTTGTAGCAGAAGTGATTTTCATGAAATAAATTGATGTCACAAATACCCAAAATTGAAAAAAAAAACAGTGGTTTTTGTATTGAGAGATGAAAGTTTATGAAATCAAATTTACCCATAGCAAAGAAGATAAAGCCTCAAACAGTAGGGGGAAAGACCACCCTTGATCCGCAAAATGTTGGCAACGGTTCCAGTTTTTTTTTTTCACTGAGGAATTATTTTGTAAAACAAATTAAATGTTTGACTCTCAGCCTTTTGAGGGGGTTAATTCGAAATACTGGGATCAACGCAATGGTTATTTTCATTCAATTTTTCTATTTAATATTTGATATCTGGTGAGAATGTTTGTTAATGTTTGCGTGCAATTGGCTGAAAAAAATGAGCCTTCAGATCCATGGAAAAAAAATTCTAGTCAATTCCGCCGTAATTAACATGCCTCCAAATATTTTTGGCAGAAATGTGGACACATTGTTGCAGTTAACTTATAGGTTTTTGATGGCTGAATTAGATTTACAGTTGTGCAAAAACAAAAATAAAAGCTGGTTTTATCAAAAAGTGTTTCAGAAAAGCTAAATTGATCAATTTCAATACACTGAAAATCTAGCTCAGAGAGTGAGTCACTTTTACTGCCCAGACAAAAAAATACGTTTTCATTTTCCTAAAAATATTGCAAAAATATATCGATGATCAGAAGTATTCAGTTTTTCTATTTTTCTAAAGAAAATTAAAGTGTAGAACATTTTTTTCTCTTGGTCATCATGGGACAGAGTTGGACTCAAACAACTGCAAAAATCAATCTTTCGTTTTCTGTTTAGAGTCCATCTTTTTTTTCATGATGAGAAATATTTTAACATGTACATTTTTTCGAACCATTTTTTTTTTTGGGCTTCTCTTGAATATTTGACATGTGGTGAGAATTATTTATAATATTGGTACCGTTTGACAGAATAACGTTCAATGACTTCATTCTTCGCAATGAAGTCCTCTGCTACCTCAAGCATCTGCTGGGCGATTTTCATGAATTAAATTGATAATGATTATGTCACAAATATCCAAAGTTAAACAATCGAAGTGAGCAGCACTTAACCCGAAAACAGTTGTTTTTTTTTATTATTGAGAGACAACTCGCAGGTGAAAGCTTATCAAATCATATTTACCCACAGAAAAGAAGAAAAAACCTAAAAAAGTAGGGGGAAAAGACCACCCTTTATCCGGAAAATGTTAGCAACGGGGAATGTCCTAGCGGTTCGTCTCAGCCTGAATAAATGCCAATAGTTGAAAGCATCCTGTTGTTTACTGGACAATTATTTTGCGACATAAATTAAATGCTTCGCACTCAGTAGAGTTGGGCAGTAGCTCAAGTCCGCTTTCGACGGGGTAAATTCAGAATGTTGGGGCCTCGAAATTTTCTATTTAAGAGGAAGTTCACCATTCTGAAAAAAAATAATTACATTTTGATTTGTCCAAAAATGTTGGAAAAGATATCGACAATCTAAAATGTTCAGTTTTTTAATATTTTTCTCCAGAAAATTTATGTGTAATTTGGACACAAAAAATCGCAAAAATCAACCGTTCGGTTTTGTTTAGAGTCCATCTTTTTTCATGTTGAGATAAACAAAATATTTGGGCGTGTACATTTTTCATGTCTTTTTAATTTTGATAGCTAGCTTTCAATATTTGACATGTGGTGAGAAATATTGTGTTGGCATGAAATTCGAGAAACATCGTTCTAAAGTAATATGCTAAAAACAAAAAAAAAATGAACCCTCAGATTCTTGAAAACATTTGACATGTTAATTCCGTCATAGCGCACTCTCCAGATGGATGAAAGTCTAGAGGGCAAATTCCGAGATAATTTGATTAAATTCCAGGGGCATCTAGAAAAATCTTTCAAGATAAAATGGAAGAATATTCCGGAGGAGGTCAAGAAGGATGTCTGAAGAATCATTCAAAGGAAATCAGAAGAAACTTCCGGATGAGTTGGAAGAAACTTCTGAAGGGAGTCAGAAAAAAATCTAGGAAGTTTGAAAAATAAGCTTTCTGGAGAAGTCGGATGATACTTCCTGGGGTAGTTGGATTTAACATCTTGAACAATTCCAGAAACGTCGGAAGAAACTTTTGGGGTGAATTCAAGTACATCTTCCTGGGTACACTACCGATCATAAGTTTAAGGACACCCCCAAAAAACCATGCAAATATGTTTTCTTCAATGATCTCTCATTTAACGTTCAACTTTCGATCTCCAAAGGTTATTTGAATGGTATGAATGGTGTAGCATAAGTATTATACTACTTCTTTTATTTCCAAATTTGGCCAACCCAATTCTGAGAATATTAGTCACGATTCTTTAGAGTAAATTTTAAAAAAATTTGTAATTTTTGGTGAACTTTTGCACACAAAATTTGAAAATTATATTGAACAATTTGCCTACGAGAAAAGTTCCATTAAATACCTATCAAATGATCTAAAGAGAACGAAAATTGGACGTAACATGACAGAGATATGAACATAACAAATTTGTCATGTTTTTTTTTTGGGTGTCCTTAAACTTATGATCGGGAGTGTAAATCAGAACAGTTTTTTTTTAATTTAAAAATAAATTAAATTAAAATAATCTGGGGATATTTAGTTGTACAGAAGTTCATAATTAAGTTTCTTTCGGCTTAAATCATCCGACAGGGTGCTTGTTATTATGAATTAATGCCAACTGGCGAATCGATTTTATTTTTCCCTCTCCGCATTCCATGAAACTTCGCATAATTGTTCATTAGGAACAATTAAACAAGTTTGTGCTGGAATTCGGCCATATTGGCTCACGCATAATTTTCCAAAACGGCGTATTCGATATTTTTCAATACATCATAGCACGAAAACGGCTCGTCTAATCGAAATGAAGGCTCAGCCAACGAGTTTAGTCAATTTTTAGGTGTCCATTGTTGTCAATTCAGGAAAGTTAGCATTTTGGATATGCTTCCTAAAAAATTAAAAAGTTTAATAATCTTAAAATTTTATAATTTTGTTTTAGTGTGTATTTTTTTTTTGAAAATTCAATCCAGTTTCCAAAACATCGAACGCGCCATTTTGGAAAATTTCCATATCAAACTTTGTTCATTTCCCCTGTTGCGATGAACAAAGAAAACTCTTGCATTTTTAAACTTCTACACGGCCAATGAGATTAACCCAAATTTGTGTTCAGTTTACTCATAATCGCAAAAAGTGCAGGAGCTCAGTGATGAGTAAATTAGCCTCATGTTTTCCTGTAGAAAGCCTCAAAAATAAATCCGGAAAATGAAGAAAATTGAACTCAGTCTACTAGTAGCACTAATAGATTGAGAGAATTCAATCTTCACTTTTCTCATGTTCGGGATCTTTTTAACTGGAAAAACCAGGAAAACTCTGAGGCAAATTTACTCATGGCTGAGTTTCTGCAGTTTAGGTGATTTATTAGTAAACTAAACTCAAATTGGGGTCGTGTTTAACGAACAAATTTGTCATCGGTATTTTCGTACAATAGGATTGTAATGAAAAGTGGTCCGTAGTAAAAATCGCTCAGATTGATTCCCATTCTATGCATATGAAAAAGTGTAAAAGTTGACCCACATTGTTGACCCCCAACCCTACCCCTTTTTAGCCACTTTATGCGTAGATCCGCGTTTTCCTCAATTGAGTCGATCTCAGCTTAATTTTGAGTTGGGCTCTTCGTTCTTGTGCCTAGCGACTTGAGTTGTACACACTTAGAAATATTGATGTAAATTTAGGTGCTCTGAGAATGACATATACGAACGTCAATTGTGACATAAAATTAAGTCATAATAGATGTGAAATTCAGCTCAATCAAACGTAATTTTGAACTTTTCAGTCTCGGAGCACTTTAGTTTACATGACATGTTTGTTTACGTCTCATCCTTTATGTCAAAGATGGTTTCCGTCACGTGTAAGATTATGTATTTCTAACTGTGTAGCTGTGGTCAGTTATCACCAATACTCCTAAAGAACTATCTCGCGCAGTTTTAGGAGAAACATGGGCAGATTTGTGAAGGTAACTAAATGATTAAGGAATATTTACCTATCGCAAGGGATTTACCTGCAGACAGCCATTCCATAGCAAAACGATTAAGTGGTTCTCAG